AAACAAAGATCTTTTCTTTCACATTAAAATGTATATGCCTATATGTCGGACATAGAGTTTTAAACCAATATTTAACTCCCAAAATACCGACTTATAGACGAGAATATACATACAATAACAACGTTTCGAATCGCGTGCCCAATTTTCATATTACGCCTCGACGGAGATTTAATACGGAAAATTTCAGGGCGTCATGTGATTAGCTTTTATCCAATCAATATTCGACAAATTTGTCTGAAGCGGGATAAATATATTTACATGCACTCCGATATTTCTTCTCGTCTTAAAAAAATATGATGGAAAATGGTATAAAACTCATTAATCTTTTCTTTCAAATAGCTATGCTTGTGAAATTAGGAGAATCAAAATTATTTTGCTTATTTGATCAAGAGTATTCTTTGTAAATAAAAAGTGGAGATATGTTCAGTGATCGATGTTTAAAAGCTCTAAAAACAAATACCTTCGGAAATTCCGGATTTGGGAACAGAAACAAAAACAGCATTTTGGAACAATTTTTTTATTTCCTTTTTTAAACATCCTGTGTTGTATTGATGAATATTTCCTTGTCCGTCGGATGTCATGATTAAAAAAGCCATATTGAACAGACGTACAGGGAGGTACATAGTTGTATTTGGGGACCCATTCATCTAAAAATATATGATGTACACATATATAGTGAAATTGTAATATAATCTATTAATTATAAATAGCACGATTTACACGTCAATTTCATGTACGGAAATAAATCTTATTATTTAAGCATCTAGGAAAAATGGGGAACTGGGAAGTACTATATTAGATAGGATAAAATTAATTTTGTGAACGTTTTAGAAATCCCCATGGATGTGCTATTCTCTTCGAACAAATGCTTAAAATATAGATTCCGATGATTGTAAATGCACAATCCACACATATATTCATAAAATTGACTTTCAAAGAGAGGTGTTCATAAAACTGCTATGTTTAATCACGAAAAAATAATTTAGTAATATTAGGGAAATTCGCGAAGAACGAACTGATTTAATATTTTGCAAATTTTCTTCATATGCGACAAACATGTTTTATATTACATAAAAATGGCTAAATGATGAAAATAAAATTGAATTAATCAGGTATTTGTAATCACACTTAATTTTATAAAATAAAATACTAAATTAGCTAGGAGTGGTCATGGGTGATGTATGCCTTGACGAGTTTGGTGGTGTCGAAATCGAGGAGATTATTGTTGTGGACAAAGTGCGCCAGAGTTGAATATGGATGTGTCCTGGAAGCGTTGCAATTAGGCATGGAGGAGAAGGGTGTTGTCATGGCTGACGTTGAAGTAGTTGTTAACAACGAAGATAAGACGATGGAAATGGATCTGCTCGTAGACCTTGATGTCACTTTATAAAAAGAAGGAGGACCATGACTTCTCCAGGGATATTCAATGATGATATATTATTTTCATATCTTTGATTTGAAGACCTCACAAATAATAGAAACTAAATAAAACAAAAATAGCCCACAAAAAGCTTGAGGGCTATTTACATATATTTAATCTAAACGGAAATTTCTGAGTTCTTTACAATAATTAATTAATATCAACATGTTTTATTGTTTGCTCTCAATACGTGCATTGGTTCATTTTTGCTTCGGTTTTGCTCTGCGCGGAGCAGTGGAAGAGTTTCTGCTCTAGAGTCGTAGAGTTAGAAGTTCATCCTTATTGCAGTTTCGAATCCCACGTGTAGACTGGTTCTTCGAATATATTGAATAAACCGAGGATCCGTGTCGCAGAAAATGAGTGAAAAATTCTCCAGAGGCACGACAAACAACGAGCAAAGGAGAAAAACAAACAAACAGAATTGATTTCTGACTAGAAGAAACATTCAACGTATATTTGCTTATATGTCTTAAATATTATTGAGGTGTAAAGAATTTAAAAGATCATATTTTTCTTTCCTCACCACAATTGTACAACTGGTTAACTGCTTTTGAAAACTAGCAGGGACTATATTTTTGGCGGAATGGTGGCGTATGAAAATATCTTCTTTTCTGCCTCTCAAAATTATAATAGAACAATGAATTTAGTTATAATTTTTACACAAACGAAAACTTCGAGAAATTTTCAAATGTAAGTTAAATTAAAAATGAGGGAATAAACTTTCAAAATATATCAAATAAATACGATTTTTCAAACAAACTAGAACTTTATTAGTTTTCAAACGCTTCCGATCAAAATGCAGATTTGAGCCAAAAATCCATTAAAAGTATTTTTTCTCTCTTAGTAAACGATAAAAACTTTTTTTGTTTTTGTATCATTTTGTACATTTATAAGACTATAAATGTTATAATATTATTGTTATCAAAGATTCTATCAAAGTTTCTACTATTTAAATTTTCGGACATTGATTATTAATATTTTGTTTTTGTCAGATGACTTATTAGCACATTTATATTTCCATTTTATTGTATCATTGAATACTATTGATTTCACGCGGATAAGATTATAGTCACTCTTATGTACACAGCTATTATCGTGTATAGGCCATTTCGAGTTTCTAGTTTTGCAATAAGTTTTCAATCTATTATTTCTAAGAAAAAAAGAATAAAGGCGTACAAGGCGATGACATTTTCCCCCACTGAGAATAGGCATTTCTCAATTCTAAAAGTTACATTTTTCAAAATCATATGGTTTACATCATCTTTTACACATTTAATTCTGTATTGTTTTAATATTTTATCAATAATTATTTTTGTACTCATTTTTTAAAGATAAGTCAATGTGAGAACAAAAGAGAAAAAGCTTCACGTACGATTGGAACTCTCTCCATAGTACAGAGTTTTGTCCAAGGCCGACCGCTTTAACTACTACGCTACGAAGTATATGCATTATATGCAGTATATGTCAATGTGATTTAAATGAACGGTTTGTTGAAGGGTGCACTTTTTCAGAAATGTTCGATTTTCATATAGAATTGGTTCAGATTCCATTTTTTGGTAAAAGAAAATAGATTTCACATTTACGTTTCCATCCTCTAAAAATTTAACGAAGAATGGAGACTTGACCCATTCATATTCAAAATTTGTTTTTAAAGCTCTAGTAAACCAATTTTCCACTAAATATGCTTGTGTGTCATTTTTGAAAAAAAAGATTATCAAATGATTAGTCGTTCAGTTAAATAAAATAATAAAATGTTTTGAAGATGACATTACTGAGAAAATGATTAAAAAAAAAAAAAAAAAAAAAAAAAAAAAAAAAAAAAAAATAACGTTTCTGTTAATATTGAAAATTGAGAAATATTTTGTCTCATAGCGGGGGGATTGTCCACGCCTTCCACGCTCTCTTTCTTCTTTTATAATTTCTCAATGTAAGAATGAAACAATTTTATAAGAACGTTACCTTTGAATATTAAATGAAAGCAATAAAAATGAGTTTCAATTCTCTTTCCCGCATTTTCATAAAAATGTCGTCGTAAATTGACTTGAACCACTTGTTTTGCTGGAATATAGTTGCTTGTTTGTTCTTTAGCGTCTCCCTACAGAAATTTTCTTCCATATGGAGACGCCAATACTTGTGGATGGAGACAGTCTCTCCATGTCCTGCTTTAGAATGTTAATATGTTTAAGACTATTCAGTCCTGACATATGCATATTTTTTGCGGTTTTGAAAACTGTTCACGGTTAGGTCAGCTGTATTCCATTATGCTAATTGCCATATAAAGCAGATTCCTTAACCTGATGAGCTAAAATTGAATATGCAGGTTAAAGCTCCGTTTATGTTCCATTAAGTTAGGAGTGATTTCTTTTGTTTGAAATATAGATAATCTTGAATAATCCACAAATTTCTTAGTCCATCGAGTCGGGGCAAAAGAATACTGATAAGAACGAATTAAAGTCAAAGTTTATAAATGAATAATCGTCTGTTCTAGATGTATATACAATTGAAATTCAAGGGAAAACTGAAAAGCACAAGAAGACTTTTATTTATTATTTGAAAACGTACGTTTCCTAAAGACATTTTATTCATATCAATGAAGACATTACCTTATCATAATCCTAGAATATTGTCCGTATATGTTTATGAATCCACTATTGATCTAATTAAAAAAAAACTTGATTACCAAAAAGATGCCTAGATAACGAGTTTTGATTGTGTCTAATGTAAATGTAAAAAATTTCTTAACGTGCGAAAATACCATTCAAAGATAAGGAGGTGAGGGTTTAAATTATTAATGTTGTTATTTTTAATGAATAAATTTTGGAAATAAAACCAAAATAGCCTGTCTCGTTGAAGTCAAAGCACATTTCTCAATACATATTGTAACACCTGCAAGCCAATTAAAATGCCTTCCTACCATATTTATGGCTTTTATAAAAAGTCAATCTCGAAAAACTATTGTACATGTGATTTATCCCCTATAAAAGTAATGGGTATGGTAATGGTGACAACTCGAGAGCTACGCGCCATCGTGCCATTGTGACCACACCCATCCGGTGTCTGCACATAGTTAACATTAGTATATTCGGCAATTACTACTATTAAATAACAATTTGATATCAACAAAATAAAGCTACAATGTGATTTTCAATCTATTATATGCGCAGTACAGGTAAGGTGACAAATGGAAAAATCGGCGATTTTTTAAAGATAAAATTTATACACCTTACAAGGATGGGCGATTGTTTATAGGATTTTACTAACATCAGCAAAATGTAATATGGTAGGAATCTTTATGTTGAGCACATTTCGATATTTTATTAAGACTTTTTACGTGATGTCGGAGTTACATGATATAAGTATATGTACTTGCAGTTTTGAGGCCATATGTAAATTCCAATATTGCAACGTCATTACCAAGTGAAAAGTATCGTTTAAATTATAATTATCTTCATCATTAAATGTACAACGTGAAAAGTTCTGCAAACCTATATAGATTCCACTATATGAAAAACTCAGAATTAAAAAAATTAAACTCACTTTTGTTGAAATGATAACTCATTTTTATTAATCTTTTTTTTAATTTCAAAGAATCGATTTAACCCACAGACAAAATAACGTAAGAACCGGCATGCCTAACATAATCCACATACTTTGGGACATATCTTAAGTCTTTTGATATCTAAACATGTAACCATCAAAAAGTTAATATCAAGACATCTCGGATCTGTATCAATACAAGGAGGCTTAGTTGTATGTGAAGGAGCTTTTGCTGTATATACGGGTTGCCTTGTTGTATGTCGAGGTATTGTAGTAGTAGGCAGAGTGGGCGTGGTAATGGACATGGTTGTTGTAGTAGTAGGCTTAGTGGTCGTGGCGGCTGAAGTTGGCATTGCTGTTGTAGCAGTTGTACTGTGAAATTCTTCTATAAAATAATATGATGATATTGATATGATGATTGATATTATCTTTTAAACTTATTAACAGTTATTTTTTTTTTAATTTTGTTTCATGTCTTTCACTTACCGATAACAAGTTATGTAAATGTACATCTAGTGAATTTTTACAGTGTAATTATTAATATTTCAAATTAACAAACAAATATTTTATGATTATGATTATAAAAACATGACATATGTATATTTTCCATCTCTATATTTTCTGGTTACCAAAAGAGACAAATAAATGAAACATATAGAGATAACGAACAGTATTCAAGATAAAAAAAGTCCATAAAGCATAACAAAACAGAACCAGAGAAAACACGGACCATCAAATCATCAGAGATGGGATCAGTTGCCATGGAGAAGTGCGCATCCCCAGTCGACAGGTCACACCCTCCGTGGACTTCTTATCATGATCGGGAAATAAAAGAAACTCCGCGTCAATTCAGTGTATGAATAATAGACTAACAATTGGTATGAAAAACGTCATTCATGCAGCATTTGACTCAATGATAAGTTGTTTTTGCTGACAAAGTTATTGTATAAACCATGGAACTTACGAAATAATGACTTTAAACGAGTCTACAGATATTCTTGTTCCTTCAACTTGTTAGTCAATAATTTGCCTCGTTTTAGAAATTGTTCATACGTAGAGCATACTCTTGCGTATCGATATCGAATAAATGGGATACTTAAACTTCGTACATGTATGCAGGTGATGAAGGTACATTGCTGCATAAAAAAGGGAAGTTGACGATAGAAAAGTTAAAATCATCACGTTCATCATAGAGCTTGATTGTCGGATTACCAGTAACGTCTTTATCAAGTAAAATATATAAATAAAAAAAACGATGTGTCAGACTTTATTGTATCTTTTACCTCAAGCTCACCGGGATATAATTATTAATTGAAAATACGTCGTCGATAGATCGGAATATCGAGTTGAAGGCGACAACAAATGATTTTTTCTTTTCACGCATGAGATTATGTACAAATTTTGCAAATGAATAAATAAACTTACCTTTCGAGTTGCAGCTATCCAGATTACAAGGACGATACGATTCCCCTTCGTTTTCACAACACCGAAAACAGATGTTTACCAGTGTCTTTCTTTTGCCTACTATGTGACCGAATTCCATTGGTGCTTTGGTAGTATGTTTAACTGGCCCACCTAGACTACTCAAGGTTTCACATGTCTATGGAAAGTAACAGTTTAAGGCAGGGAACAGTTGTTTTGGAATACAATCGAATGATTTAAAACAATCAGCTTATACATTTATACATGCAAAATTTTTAAAATAATTTTCGACTGTACTTTTGTCAGCTCTAAACACATATATTGTAAATGCCTCAATCCTTCAACTAGCTCTAATTCTTAAAATTTTATTCCAAATATCTAAACAAACATTTCGACGAAACCTCGATTTCAACAAGTGTATTGCCACGTCGGAAAATTCAAAGACTAAGGGAATTCAATGCTTTAAATGATCCAGTCTTAATCATAGTACAGAATCCTGTATAAGTTAAGAGTAGTTGTATAAAATATATACATAATCCATGCTTACATGATAGCCGTACAAATATTATCATATGAAATTTTTTCTCTATCTATTTTAATTGTTATTCAGACACAAAGTCATAGTTGAATCAAATGACTGAAAATCACCCAAGTAATCACCAGATACATGTAAGCTGAACCCATGTTCTACAGAAGTGTTCTCAATCTCAAACTTTATTCTTAGTTTTAAGTGGTTAGCGTATTCACTAATCACTTTATGACACGTAACCAAAACCGGAAAGTTCCATAAGGCACTACCTATCGACAACGGAAACCTCAACAAGGCGCTACCTATGATTTGTTTGCAGTTGGTGTAAAGGCCCACTGGTGAGATATTGACGATATGCAGTGTATCTGTGTGTGAAGAGTGGCTATTATAATGTTTATGCCGAATTCTTATAAGTAACATTATTTACCAAAGTATTGACAATACTACAGGGTGATCAAACATATTTGATACTACTTTGACTATAGATAACTTTGTCAATAATAATTCTACATATTTCATTTATAAATAATTTTAAACTGCTAATCCTATCATTTTAATAAATATGAAACTGTTATTGTTTATTTTACATGGATATGTCGAATCAGAGAGCTGCAGAACTTGTCCAATAATATTTTGAGACACATTCACCCATAACTGTGATTCCTATCATGAGAAAAAGTTATTCATTGGGCACTTAGCTTACAAAACTGCAGGTTAATAGGTAAGTGAAGAGATTTCAAAAGACTGCTTCAGTAGAAGATGCTTGTTTGAAAAACATTTGAAGGTCCCGGACAATCAGAATTGTTAAATCGGTTGCAGTTTTCAAAGAACTGATAACAGAAACGCCACAAAAGTCAGTGAGAAGTGTTATGAAAAATCGGTCGGCAGGGGATGCTCACTCCTCCAGGGCACCTGATCCCACCTCTGATGTTTCGGGCGTCCATGATTCTCTGCTCTTATTTTGTATTGTTTTATGGACTTTGAGACTGAATACTGTTCGTTATCTCTATATCCTTCTATACATACATTTTTTTGGAAGCCGATATGATATTTTTCAAAAAAGGCCTTCTAAACGAAAATAAAAACAGATAGATACGGGTGCTGTTTTGTCGATAGTTAAATTCCACATAATAAGTTATAAACAAGTCACTGATCGCAAAACACTTGTCAATATGACGTCATTTCGTACAACGTGACGTAGTTTGTATGCAGTGAGAGCCAGATCAAGTAATATTTTCTCAACAAAATATGTATTCTCATATTTAGTAAAGTATTATTTACAGATATTCTATGAGCTAATAACTTGAATTTAATGTCTTCTTCACTATTTTATTAATATATTTTCTGTACATTAGGTATTCAATTGACACTGCCGTATATTTGTATGCAAGTACATCGGAGGGTAATGTGGGGGGTCTTAATAAATCGATCTACTGCAAGGGCATACACTGTATGGATCAAAGTAAGCTTTTACATTTCAACTATAGAACTGTTAAAATATCTGAAAAGTGCTGCGATCCTGATGAAATCTTAAAAAGAATTTAATTATATCAATATTTCATGCCGCTGACCAGCAAAAACATATAGCATTCGGTCATTTAAGTATAATTTTAACAATAAAATTGCAGAATGTAGACAGGATCGCAGCACTTTTTAAAAACTACAATGCGTGTTGAAAATATTTACATACTAAGCTAGGAAATTTAACTTGGTTATGCCCTTGCAATAGTGATATTTATATGTAATATCAATACTGCGAGTAAATGTGCTAAAATCACGTGACTGACGCATCACGTGACCAGTCTAAATATAGAATATAATCACCCTCGATATGTAGTTATCAATCATAACCACATTTATCCGATATAAATAATGTACTAAAAAAATCGCCATCCCGATTACGAATACATTTTTAAATACAAAATTTAGTCGATATTTCCATTGCGCACCTTAAGTGTACTGCGTATGTGTAAAATATCTTTGTTGGTGTAAAGATTCTATAGAATATAAAATTCTTTGGATGTCATTGTAACAAAATCCACACTGGATTGAAAACATACTTTATGTGCGAAATATTACGCCCCAGTTCTTACTCATCTTTCAAATAAACAAATATGAAACTAACTGGTTATACAAGCAGCTTTAGCATTCCAGTTTCTACAAAAAATAATATTTTTATGATTACCGTGGATATAATACTGTAGATCACTTAATTTTCGCGACACCTTATTTTCGCGAAATAGTCATTGACTCTTGATTAGCGAGACAAAATTTTCGCGATTGTGGTTACTGCTCTATATAATCTTAAGAAATACTATTAAACGCGAGAATTATTTTCGCGAGCACACTGCTCGCGTAATTACGCGAATAAAGTAAATAAAAAGTGATTTACAGTACCTTAAATTAAAGTTGCCTGGCTACTATTTCATATGAAAGATGAGGGCTCTGAAATTCTATGTCAAATTTTAAACGGAAGAATCTCTACTAAAAAATTTTGTGAAAACTCGTAAGATTTCTCTTACGGTTGAAACTTATGGCAATTGTTTTTCCCGTAAAAATATATATTTGTTTTGAAAATATCTGGAAATCAGTTGATTATTTATTGATGTTTAGACACTTAAGTAATAATTAACATCCATTATGATAAAGAGCTTCAAATTTACACCTTTACCCGGCACTTAGGCCCATTGATCATTGAGGCTTCTTTATCTCCAAACGCCAATCGTAATATTTAAGGTCGGATCCAAAAGACCTTTGACTTTCAATTGTAGTGACGGGTGCTTAATGAAGG